CTATTATATTACTTCTGCTGAAGGTGATAATGCTGTTTTCACAGGTAAACATGACTTCATTTTCACAAAAAAATATGAGCATTTATCATTATCTAAAATAAATTATTTTAATTTTTGTCAATAGGAGATACTTTGTTCATTGGTGGCTGTGGCAGATTTTCGAAGGTACTGCTGAAAATGTGTCATGCCATGTCTGTGCTTGGAAGTTTACCTGATGAAACGAAAGTGTTTTGTGGTCATGAATATACAATGCAAAACTTAAAATTTGCCAAAAAAGTAGATCCTACAAACAAACAAGTAGAGCAAGCTATAAAATGGGCATCGGATTTGAGAAATAAAAACACACCAACGGTAATTCAAAACATTGTTCTATTGCAGAAAGCATAAATTGTTCATCAAATAAATTCATAGAGCAATAATATTTTATAACAATTACACAGATATCTTTTAACTTTTCGTACTTCATGATCAAATTTTATGTAAAGATGATATTGAAAATATAATCATTTTAAAATTATACTTCTAGGTTCCATCTAGTATTGCTAAAGAAAAAATGATAAATCCTTTTATGAGGTGATGATGTTTGTGTACAACAATATGCTGGACATACGGGGTGCAAAGTACGAACCATGGCTGAAATTCGAAGACAGAAAGACTCATTCAGTGGTTAACTTGATAAATGCAAGATTCCTTTTGAGAGTTCATATCTTTATTAAAACTTTAAACATAAATTATATAGTTTTAGAAAGTAATTAAGTCATGTATTTTATAATAATGTAAATAAATTTATATATTTTTATAATTCATTTGTTGTTCCTTCTGTAGATGTATTTTTTATCATTTCATATCAGCATTCCTTGTTAAATCAATGAGATACGCAAATGATCATTTAATATAATTGAGCATACTATCTTGCAATATACGAAATAAATCTTAGACATAATAAAAAAATAGCATTGGTAGTTAAACTATTTAATTTCATTATTTTACAGCTTTCATTATCCATAATTTTTATGATTTCAAAAACAGTAACCAAAAGTTGTGCACAAACATAATAAGTTTGAGATTGTTTATATACAATATAGTTAATATGAATAAAATATAATTATAATTTTATATAAATCGTAAAAAGAAATTAGTATGTTAATCTATAAACTCACCTTATATGAATTGAATTCTCTCTTATCTGAGGGTTTGAATAAAAATAAAACACAGTTTTGAAGATGGAGTAACTGTTTTGATCATTTAATTTAACTAAACTTACTATCTTCACATTGGCTAACAACCATTCCTGTGAGTTGTGGAGATAAATTTTTTACAAATTACTTAATAGCATCTTGGGAAATTTTAACTAATACATAAATTAGAATATGCAAGGACTTAAAGTTTTGTTTAGGCCCCGTGCCCAATGGTGCAGTGCTCACAGGTAATTTTGTAGTTTGAAATCATTAACTTAGTTTTTAGGTTATAGTCGTAATAATTATAATTTATGAAATTAATTATACATTTGTTTTGCAATAGAGTGTTATTAGCCCAAAGTTTTCAAACCACTAGTCGCGTACCACAGTTATCTGTTCCCCAACCAGAAGGTGAAGAAAAGTAGTATCTCCAAAACTGGAGAAGCTTGTTGGGGACATTGCACAATTGAATTTACTTGAGGTATTTACTAAGAGTCTTATCTAATTTCAAAAATAAAAAATGGGCAAATTGTAAATGATTCGTATATTTATTAGGTTTCAGAGCTAACTACTTTATTGAAAAAGAGATTAAATCTACCTGATGCACCTATGATGCCAATGGGAGGTTTTGCTCCCGCTGCCAGTCAAGCTGAGGATGAAGAAGAAGTTGTTCAACAAAAAGTACAGACATCTTTTACGGTCAGTTTTATTGTGAAAAACATTGAGGTTTTAAATTTTTACGATCGTACTTTCTATTTATGCTGAAACCCAATATTGTTCTTGAATTTCAGGTCAAACTAATGAAGTTTGATGAAAAACAAAAAGTAGCACTTATTAAAGAAATAAAAACGCTATTGGAGGGAATGAATTTAGTTCAAGCTAAGAAATTTGTTGAAAGTGCACCTACAGTTGTAAAATCAGATATTGGCAAAGATGAGGCAGAAAAACTAAAAGAAGCCTTGTCAAAAGTTGGTGCAGTTGTAGAGATTGAATAAGATTATTTTTAAATTAATTGTAGAGTTTTAATGAAATATAAATAAATATTTATAATAAAGCATCAGTGGCATATACATAATTATATTAGTTGCAGGAAATAATTTGTATAGTTAGTTTTCTTTTATAATAGCAATTAGTACTCATGTACATAATTTTATATTAAAAGTCAATTGTTCATATCAGTCAATTTTAAATTAATCAGTGTAGACGGTAATTTTTAAATTAATCAGAGTACTCTTATTTATGAGTGTAAATTAGTTGTTATAATACATAGTATTGTATCTCATATTTGTTTTTTAAAATATTAAGAAAATTGTATGGTATATTTGCTAAATAACAATTATTATTGAGAAACAAAAACCATCCGCATTTCTTAAATATATTGATCAGTTCTGGCGCCTTTTTTTGAAGTCGTTGCTACTTTTAATAAGCAACTTCAGGTTAGTTTGTTTTACTTCTTGTTGCATGCTTCATTTTGTTCCAAAACCTGTGCAGTGAATTGGAAAATGCCTAATTTGTATATTAATTTTATTTTGTTTATTTTTTGTTGTTATTTATGTTATTTAATTATTTATATAATAAGTTTTAGTCTTATTTGTGTTGTGGTTAATGTTATTGTGTTTTCGTTCATAACTGTGCTTGGATTTATACAAATGAAATAAATTATAAACTGGACCTACAAAAAGGTGCTAAAGGTAAATATATTTATATTTTCATTTAAATTTTATTAATAATTATTATGGCTTATTTATATAGACGAATTTCAAATGTATAATCTATGAAACATCATCCTTCATATCACGAAAAGTAAGGTTAAACATTAATATGGGAAGAACTATGAAATACTTCTAAAAGAAGTTTAATAATTATTGCTGCGATTAAATTAATAAGTAGAATTTATGCACATATTGTTTTACAGCTCGATAGATAGAACAGCTTTGGTTCTGTTGGTACTCGATGAATCTGGGAATTTTGCACAAGTGTACAATACTCCTGTTTTCTGTCAGGCAAAACTTAATAATCATATCATAAAATTGCTTTTTAGATACAACGTTTATATTAGATGTTCATATATCTCATAGATCAGCAATATCTGAACTCTCAAATAATATTTTGCCATTCATGATAGTCGTTTATAATAAGCAAAATATGATATTTATTAAATAATAAATGAGCATGCATATATATATATATATATATATATATATATATATATATATATATATATATGATTTAGTTGTTATTTTTTATGCTGAGATATATCAGTAAGTTCTTGTGGGCGATAAGAATAGAAAGCAAAGATTTATAAATTAGTCTTTAATTCCAAACATTTCGACATTCAATTTAATGTCATCATCAGTGGTATTAAAGTATAATAGTATATATATATATATATATATATATATATATATATATATATATATATATATTCAAATTCTATATCTTTGAAGAACAATAATTTTTTTTTTTTAATGCAGCAAGATGCGCAATACTATTATATATATTATTAATACCGTATATTCGGGATAAGTATATTAGCTCAGTATACTTTCTCGGTTCAGTACGTTTTAGAAAAGGAAATTATTAGAAACTTTCTTATCTATTTTTATGATATTAAGATTTAACCAATTTATGTAATTTAAAAGGGTTACTCCTTTCTTGAAAACCAGGATAAATATCAATATTATGACTTTATTCGAATAATATGACTTTCAAAATTTAAAAAAAAATATACTGTGAAATATAATAAGTTTAAAATAATAAAAGAAAGAATATAAAATTTCTCATGTATATAATTGATTTATAATCCTGATTTGTTGTGAATTTCAAAATTGGTTTTTACGATCACATATCGAAATTGCATCTTTAACCTTTCTTTAACATATAAAAAAACATCAGAAATGTTACTTTTTCATACAATAAAATTAATTCTATTCCACGACTTTTTGGGATCGATTATTTATGTTACTTTAGAAGTTTATATCATGTATTGGCGAAAATAATTTAAATTATCGTTCGACATCATTTTTTGTGTTAACATCTTTTTATCATTAGTTGTGAAAGAAATAAAATCGCACGTACACCACTGTTAAAGGGATTATTATCCTTGAAAGGTTTATGGGGCTCGCCATTACTTGCTGTGTCGGTAGTTCCTGGAAAACGCATGAACAAAACATGTTCATAAAGCAGTTTCTGTCAATCCCAATTTTCATGACTATATTAATCAGTTTAGTTTTTTTGTGCTTGTACGATGATACTAGCTATAATATTTGTTTATCAAAATTATTTTAGTATTGTTTTTATTTATAATAATTAACGAGTTTAGTTTCTTGAGAAACTTTTTGATGCCGCCAGGTACTTGTTGTAAAAAAGGATTGAGGTTGAGTAAAGCCTTATAGCTTTGTCCAACATTTGAATAATTCTATAATCGCAAAAGATACTTCGTATTTATATTTGTCTATGATTTTTTTTCGGAATTACACAAATACTTGGAATTACATACCTCTCTTTGAGATACACAAAATGAAAATTTGGACTAGTTATTTTAAGAAATTGAATACTTTCTTCCAATTTCTATCAAATATCTATGTCGAGGAGGTTTTATGCATATGATTTTTGTAGTACGGTATTTAATTTGTTTTTATTATCGCCGATGTATCAGTATGCTTTAAAATGCCGTGGGACAGGGGTTTGCAACTCAAATTAGTCAATCAAAATTTAACACATAAAAGATTTGATCAAGTTAATTATTTTTTTACCTAAAATTTTATTGAAAGCTAAGAGCTATCAACTGATAATATTGACTTGAATTGTGTGGCATTTTCTTTGTTAATTACCAAAAAAATGGTTTTGCGATATTTTAGTAGGACATCGTCTTTACATGAAACTAATTGGCCGATTCTATCGTGAAATAGATCAATGATACGACAAGGCTATGTTACGTTCAAGTTTTTGTAAATACTACTAATTACTATCAAAATGCCATATATTTGCTGTGCGATCAGGCGTTTTACACAACTTCACTCATATGTTATCAAGCCATATCTCAAATATTCAGTTATGATATTTGTGCTTTTTCTAGTTTAGGTTTTCTCTCTGAAACACGTGACCGCCCAGCAACCACCAGGATTTTGACAATTTTGGTACTATTTTATATGAAAAACTGTTACATAACATAGCCTTGCATAATATTGGTTTATTTTACCCAAATTTTATATTGGTTAAATGACTTACTAACTAAATATTATTATGATTGGTTTTGATCATGATGCGAAGGCACCACAATTTAGTAGCCCGTTTTCCTTAACTTGATTAAATACCACTTTTTAGTTCTAAAATTTATTTTTTTAGTCTTTAGTACTTGTTCCCGTATCTTGTGTCTCGGCTTTCAATTTCCCGAATTTTCTTTTTTCTAAGATAAATTTTTAACTTCCCGTAGGGCAAGTTATAGTAATCGCAAAATGATCGAAAATGAAAAATTTTATATATCTTTACGTT